AAAAATGTGTACTCCAAGTGCAGATTGTTTTCTAACTTTAGTCTTAACTTTGCTCGTCTTTAAATTTACTCACGTTATGTTAAATTTTCGAATATTGCATATGTATAAGATGATACACAATATCCTAAGCAAAAATATAATTTTGTAATAAAAAAATGTTTACGTATATGAGTTACTTTTTGATTTTAAAAATATTAAATTAATTACAATATAAATAATATTATAAATCATGTACCTAACACAATTTGTTATACCCTTCTATTGTTTAGAATATTGATGCGGATTTGATGTACGATAATTTGATACAGGTAAGCAGACGATGCGCAAATTATATATGGCCAATGTAAAACTATTTAAAAAGTCGTACAATTTTACGATAATGTACATATACTATTCATCTGTTATACATATTTTAACATACTTAAATTATTTACGAGTATATTAATTTCATGTATACATTATTATTAATATTAAAAAACCTGGGAATTCGGTCCGGTTATAGTAGTTGTCGAATACGCTACAAACACATAATGTGTTATCTCCGTCTTACAGATGCAAAACATAACAAAAATTGATTTTTTCTGGTATAAGAAACTATGAGCCTCCAGGCTGTAGTCCAAGCTAATAGCAACCAAATTTTCACACTATAAAATAGAGAACATTGTTGCTGTCCAACGTTGTTTTTATTTTTTCAATATTAAAGCTAAAAATAAATTATTCAAGTTTGAAAAACTCAAAAATAATGACTAAGTATCTTAATTTTACTTTTAAGGTTTTAATTAACATAAAAAAACAATTCAAATGAATTTTTAGTATAACATTAGAGATAATTTTACTATCTAATTTCTGTGTTTGTACATATTATATAATGAGTGATTTTTTTTTTTTTTTATTAACTGTTTATGGCATCAACTACATGGTTATTAACCGGCGTTACATCTTACATATTAAATTTACATTAATTACTTACATATTTGCTTAATTTCTACTTATTACCTATATTTAAAGATTTAAATTTTAATCTAAGTTATAGAATATTCAAATCAGTTCACGCAGTTCTGTTGAGTTGACGAAATTTAGGGGTTTTTTGGTCGTCTCGGGAGTGGGTGATAGCATCTCGTGTGTATCGGAATGAGTGAATTATGTATAATAAATAATACGAATTGCAGGCTCGACGCTGAACCTAATTTATAGAATTTGTACAATAAATGTATAAAAAAAAAAAAAATGATGATAAACACACAAATATTAAATTAAGAACAACTTGGAGTTTTTTTTAATGTTATATGATTTTTCAAATTTAAATATTTTGATAATTCAAATATACTACTTAAAGCTAGACACTAACATAATATTTACAGTAAAATGAGTTTGGCTCTCTCATCTATAACTATATGTTACCATTGTTACCTACGTCCAATTGTAAAACCTGGRTAAGAATAATTTAAAAGGTATCCATATTTATAACCATATATTTTATCTCATGGRTGTAATGAACAATGATTTATTAACGTATGGTCGTTGAACAATTTTGAACTACAAAAACAATGAATGAAACTAATCGTATATTTGGGCAAAAAAATGTAATTTCATCTATTATGACAGCAGTAGCTGATATATTAGGATGATTTATGACGTATATGAGTTATATAATATACAAATCCTTCTTTGAACTCTATATATAAAATGTTATATGTATAAAATAATAAATTAAGCGCTAGAAAATTATTTAATTTGTTACGGCATCAGTCGTGTGTCGAAACGCATGTCAAATTTAATAAATATTTTGCTAAATGAGGGTATTCGCGCTAAGCCTCCCTACATATTTTGATTTGTTCAATAACACTGTCGCCCTCCGTTTAACCGCGTGTTATGATATACGATTAGCATTACACCCTTAGTTGACTGCAGTAGCATCTGCCGTATCCTTTTTATATATTGTTTTTATCAAGTGTATATTACAGTATCCCCTCATATGTTTTTTGTGGAATAATGGATATTTTTATACATAAAAATGATTGAAACCGTATAACTCATTGAGAATTTMAAAAATGTTTAGAATATTTATGATTAAAGTCATATTACATAGTTATAGTCGTACCTATATAAATGGATGGGTTTAACTTGAACTTTATTTTAATTTTTCCACCAGTATTATTTTGTTTAAATCTTATGTTAAACAAATATTAATTTATTTACCTAACTTCTGGGTGATCGAGGAAACGTTTTTAATTTAAATAAAAGTAGGTATATATTCCAATAATAATATTAATATTTTAATAGTTATGTATAAATAACATCAGCTGTTCACTTGTTTGTCACCATAACTAAATGATTCTATACGACTATACAACAGTATCACGCTTGAAGCTATTCCCCTCTTACCAATATACACACGGTCTATTGTTATTTGGTATATTGTGTTGCCTTTATTAATTTTAATAAAATAATGCAATGCACCGTGATCTCAATACTTAATATTTAGTTGAGCGTGTAACGATATTGTTATATATTGCCCATGCAAATATAATAAATATTTATGAAAACAACTACATATACGCTTCTGCATGTAATGATATTTTAATATAACTTTTARTAATTTAGTATAGTATATTTTCTTTAATACAATTATTATTTTTAATAAATAAATATACCTAAAGTTTAAATTATATACTACCTAACTGAGTAAATACATCAAAATATAATAACATATTATATTATGCCCGATTTTCATGTAAATATTATATTGTATTTTATATATATTCGTTTTTTTAACATTTAAACTA